CCCCCCCACCCTTCAGCGTCACATATTTTGTGAATGACCTTTTATGTACAATGTAATTAATATAAATTGTACAAAATATCCAATCCATATCCATCTTTATCTGGCTGAGACACTGCCAGATAAAGAAAAACACGTAAAAACACGTTTAACACGTACAGCCATTCACACGAAAACAATTGTGTTGTGGGAGATTATCGTTTTGAGTAGAAGGTATCACAAGTTTAGTTCTGTACATTGTGTGCCATTGATCAAATCCACCATATAATATATGATTACTATTGTAGCTGTTAAGTTATTTTCCATACTAATGAATTTAGGTAAGATTGTCTTGCAAGTTGGTTGTTCTGACAAAATTATCCAGCCAATATCCAGTACATTTATTCTTCATTCTTGCATTAATCTCTAAAGAAGAATATTTATGCGAAAAACAAATCTCTTGCTGCCTATATTAGTAAAACTCGATCAATCTAAAATGCCATCATGCATGCATGAATTTAGTTAGATGCCGGAATTTAGTATAGATGCCGGAATCAGACTTTTCGAGAAATTGCCAACATTTCAAACTCAGTTGTATAACAAATGTTCACATTTTTATTTGAGTGTTTTCCTTCATTCAATACGTTACTTGTGCTTTGTTAAGAAAACTTCTAGTTTCATGGAAAAAAAATTCGTGCAAATAATTTGGTGCGAAAAAAAAATTCCTGCAACGCCAAAGCAGTCGAAAAAAATATCGTGCATGCAAGAAAAGTCCCCCCCCCCTTTTCTAATGGTCCGCCCCTAATAATCCATGCGTATGAAGGTCATTGAAGGCCGATCTTCCAATTATCGTGTAGATGATTGTGATTTGTTAATTGCCGGGAAGTCAAATGTATAGCAAATTTGAGCAGACGTTTGGTGAGGCCTCGGCCACTAGCAACGTCTGCGCAGGAGGCTAGACACGATGTCCCTTTAAGACTATCTTAAGTAATTACCCTTTTAAATTAGACATCATTTCTGGTGTCATTTTCCATGGTTCCAGAGGTTTATTTTCATTTTATATAGTATTACCTTCGCTATTTCTATTATTACTTACAATGAAATTTTATAATAAATCTCTGGAACCAGGGTAGTTGTTATTTAGTATAAATAATTATTAATATGTTTAAATATGTTGCTTTTAAAATTTTTTTATAAGACTGATGCATGAAAATAGTGGCGCCAGCGACTCAGCAGTCTTTTAATGCGCCAGAACGACAACACAGTTTTTCAAAATCTCGTCAATAGTGTATTTACCTCACATATATAAATGCGATTTTTTGCGTATGGCCATTCTTCAATTTCCATGAAAATCAGGTAGTACAATCTGTACATGACAAACTAAGAGCGACTGCAAACATTTGTTTAATTAAGTCTTTGTGCAGTCGTAATGAAATCTGTAACTGAAGTTGGAGAAATTCGCAATGAAAGTATGCGTTAATTACATGTTTGTTTACATCACCGGGCAATGGCTTGCCGTACTGCATATAATAATGAAATGTATATTTTTGTTATGAATAATATCTCGTGCAGTTAGGAGAGATTATATAGAAACAAAAACGGAAGTGGTGTCACTGGTGGTGTCACTGGTGTGTGACCACAAGAAATGTCCTGGGAACGACAATATTTAATAGATAATTACTGACGGTCATAATAACCTGTTGTTTTCTCTCTGCATTATATCAGCGAATGTCGAGAAGTTTTAGCGTTCTTCTGAAAAACGGGAGCGGTCTTTTTTGATTGTAGGGAAATTCCCAGGGGTAAATGTTTATACGGGCTAAAATAGCACACAGCATTATTAAAAATAATGCAGCGTCCACACAGCATTATTAAAAATAATGCAGCGTGCACACAGCATTATTAAAAATAATGCAGCGTGCACACAGCATTATTAAAAATAATGCAGCGTGTATCAGTGCACACAGGCATTATTCGCAATCCTTCGTCATCCTGACAAGTACACGCGATAACGTGAACATCTCAAGCACAGAATAGGAAGTTATAGCAGAAGCGTAACTCTAGTCGTTTTCCTTATTGTTTGACGGCCACGAAAATTTTAACTCGCTCACGCCAATCCACGCCATCCTGGCTAGTACAACCGGAAGTTTTTACCAGGTTTTGGTAGGTACAAAGTGCCGGTTGTACTAGCCAGGATGGCGTGATTGATGACGAATCGCTTGTAAAAACGCGGACAAATACTTGCTTGAGTTACGCTTCTGCTATACCTTCCTATTCTGTGTCTCAAGATGAGAAGTTGACAGTGCTAAAGGCCCCTCATACAATATCATCGGGCGCCTGAAGCACTGCCAAAACGGTCACTGTGAGTCCTTTCAGCTCAACTTTATAGAGAAATAGCTTCGTTTGCGCTTGTGGGATTTTATCCTAGATATACGCATGTGCAGAACACACCATAAGTTCTATTCCCGTGTTTATCCAGTTTAATACGCTCTTTGAAATAATTAACCTTATCATTAATGATAATATGTAAACTAGAACACTATAATTGACTATAATTATTTCTTTGAGAAACTGTACTCGCGATATCGACGAGCATAAATGATATTTGTGCATTACTGGCGTTGTATCAGAAATAGAGTTGATTTTAGCAAGGGCTTTGACATTTTGTCCAAATCACCGTGCATCCCTAGGTGTTAATTGGAATCGGCAATCTGCGAAATGCTGCATACCAGTAATGCTTTCTCGGCACAAAGATGATGTCAAGAAAAGACCAAAAGCAGAGAAGGGTTTGAGTAAAAGTGGGTCAAGAACTGTGTTGAAAGAGACTGGTGTATTTCTTCAAGTTGGTTCAGGTATGTTGGAACAGAGACTTTTGGCATCACCGAATAGTCGTGTACACGATTGATCATTAGTGGAAGTAAACACACGAAACGTTACTATGTTTGTACACATATTCTTTTCCAGGGGTGTGTTCTAAATGCAGAAAGATTCTTGCAGACGCCCTCGAGGAAAGTAAAGTTATTTTCCAAATTAAAGAATTGACCTTGGTAAGTAACTTTTCCTTTTATTTGAGAGCTGTAAGAGACACAGTTTGATGTGTGCCGAGCTACACGTACCGAAAAGTCAATAGTATCTACTGCCAGTTGTCAAATTAATTAACGTTTTATAATGCTTAAACTAACTGAAATATTGGTTGTGTCTTAGGACGAGGTTAAAGATACATCTGTTCCTCAAGCCCAAAGTACACCAGCTGCATTTGATATTTCCCTTTCTTCTTTGGAAACATTGCAAGGAACCCTTTATTCTCCATCAAATACAGGGATAGCCACGACAATCACATCCCAGGATAGCAGAGCTTACAGTGATGCAAATCCAATTGATAAGCTGAACGAGTTCCTTCAGAGTAAAGATGTTAGTCCAATTAGATATCCTGTCAAGGTACCCTGGGAAGAAGCGAGTGAGAGAACGAGACGCTGCCACATACGTAAGGCCAAGCAGACGGTGCAGGCTGTTCTTGAAGAAGTCGCACCAATCCGTCCGAACATTTGTGGCAGTCCGTTGTTGAATCAATGTCATCAGATAAGCAGGAAGACGATAACATTGATCAGGTTCTCATGAATGCTTTAACAGAATGCTACAATAATGCGAACTCATGGGAAACTCGGAGCCAAATACTATCTATAATGTCTGACAAAGTAACGTTTTCTACCTTAAAAAAGTGGATTCCAGGTCTTACCAGATATCGTTTTAGTGTGGCAAGAAAGCATGCTTTAATTCGTGGCAGAGGAGTTCCCCTTTCCATGATAAAGGGATCAGCTTGATCATTTTCTGGACTTTATTACCAGCCCATACGTGATACAGGATATGCCTTTTGGACAGAAATCAATCGAACTCTCGACCGAAGAAATTGTGAAAGTCCCTAATGTCATACGAATGCTGATCCCGGAATCTATTATCAAGCAATACCTAGGCTATGCAGTGGAAAATAATTTCAAGGCACTTGGGCGAAGTACAATGTCTCGTATTTTATCGGTTTGTTCAGCCTCCGTGCGAAAATATTTGCAAGGCCTCGACTACATTAGCTCTGCAGGGGCACAAGCATTTGATGATCTTAGCGTTGTAGTTGATCATCTTGGAGACAAATTTATGGGGATGGAATGGGCTAAAGATCAGAAAGACCGCCTTAAATCTGCCAAACGCTACTTAAAAAGCGACTTTAAGGTATCTGAATAATTACTATACCATTCAATTATACTGAGTAACTATATAATTATCAGTACACTTATAAAATGTTGCTCTTTTCTTGTATACAAGGTACACGTATCCAAACAAACTACAGTTCCTGACCACCGCAGGAAGTACTCACTCAGTGATCCAAAGGACAAAGATTTCCAAACCAAATGTGATCACAACCACTTCGACAGCTTTGATCGTTGCGAGTCGCTTTCCCTGGTCTTGAATGAAATAAGCGGAGCAATGGCTAAGATGTCTGACAACATTGTTTCGGTTCATACAAAAGAACAGCTGGAATTTACTGTGAAGAAAGCTAAACAACACATACTAGCATGGAAGACGCATCTGCTGCGAAATATTAATCAACATCACTGAAGCCTGACATCATTGAAGCTTTAAACGAAACATCAATTTGGCTGGTGGAAGACTGGACCATGAAATTTATCCCACGAAAATACAGGGAGAGTCAAAAGGATTGGTTTGGCAAGAGAAGAATCTCGTGGCACATCACAGTGGCCACACGCCGAGCATCCGATCCTAAGCAACTGGAAATGATGACCTTTACACATATTTTCCAATCATGTAGCCAAGACAGTTATGCTGTACTAGCTATTATGTCAGATGTAGTGGGAAAGCTAAAGAAGATAATGCCCCACCTGAAGACTATTTTCTATAGACAGGATAACGCTGGGTGTTATCGCAGTGAGCCGACCATTGTCGGAGTATCTCTCGTGAGCAAACTACATGGCGTAACGATAAAGCGCATGGACTTTTCAGACCTGCAAGGTGGAAAAGGGGCATGCGACATAAAAACCGCTAACATCAAAACTCACATGAAAGTTCATCAAAATCAGGGAAATGATATAGAAGCAGCCCATCAAATGGTCAACGCTATAAGGTGATCAGTCGGTGTGCATGGGCTCAGCGTCACTTTATGCGAATCATTGGAAATATCAGATAATCTAATCCAAGTTAAACTAGGAGGTGTCAGTTCTTTTTCCAACGTCGAATATAATAGGAACTACAGTACTTGCGAGTCTGGAAAGCCTATGGTATTGAACCAGGTAAAAAGATTACGCTTGGCAGCCTCAACATCGCCAAAGATGCTCGGATTCCATGTTAATTACAAATGAAGACGAAGTCCTCACAGACAAGTTTTCTAACAAGCGATCAACAACCAAGGGGAGTACTTCAAATCCAGCTTGTGCTAATACCGGTACTGCTACCAGTGTTGAAGCCGAGGAGTGTTCAGACAACACAGTACATCCATTTGCTTGTCCAGAAGAAGGTTGTACGAAAACATACCAGCGCTTTTCTGCACTACAACACCACTTTGACAGTGAAAAGCACGAAAGGGCACTTGAACGTGAAACCTTGCTTGATAAAGCAATACTTGGATACGCTATCAGATTAGACGAACATGCAGTTTACAAGAGTCCGGATTCAGCAGAGTAGTGCGGAAGGAACATCATCGAACCAGACAACATTGCAGATGGGCTGGGCACTCAAATCAAGTACCACAACAAGAGGTCGGTTCACCGACAATCAAAAACAATACTTAATGAGTAAATTTAGTATTGGAGAGTCCACAGGAAACAACGCTAACGCAGTTTCAGTCGCCAAATCTATGATAACTGCAAGAGATAATAACGGGCAACGTCTTTTCTCAAGCGACGAATTTCTTACAAGTCAACAGATTTCGAACTTTTTTTCCCGCATGACCGCCAAGCGCACGTTACAAATCGATCTTTGTGTCAATGACGAGAAAAGCACAGAATATGAACAACGATTTGAAGAATTGAGAAACAAAGTAATTGCAGAGGTTGTACCAAAGCATCTTATTTGCTACGATAACAATAATTTGTGTGAGCTGGTTAAAAAATTAAATCGAAGTTGTCCATCTTCTCAATTTCTATGCTGCGAAATATATGTGAGCAGTTTGATATTCCCACGGCTCAGATCACGGACAAACGAAAGGCACCGTATATCAATAAACTTATTGAATTTGTACAAAATTGCAGCTGCCATGAATAACAATACATCATTAAGTTAATATACAAATTTGATTTTATGCTAATTACCCGATCATTTCCAAGTCTCCTTGGATAGAGAGTAAGTAACCTATGTTAGACAAATGTAAACTGCGTCACGTAGGCGTTTTAAGCAAATTTCGACTGAGAGGTGGGTAGGAGTACTTCTACCTCACCTCTCTCGCGCACAGCACTCTCGCCCAGCTCTCAGCCTAAGGGACGGACCATTAGAAAAGTGTGGGGGGGGGGGGGGCATGGATTTTGTTCCGGTCGTCTGCTTGTGTAAGAATTTTTCTGCGGCATTTTAAAGCGAATTTTCTTTCTGCCCCCGCAAGAATCACTTTTCTAATGGCCCGTCCCTTAGTTGCTTCCGTGAGTTGGAAGTCATGACCAATAGACCTTGGAAGTGTTTACGTCACGCCAGTGCCAAACAATAAATTGCAATGCAATGTGGGAAACATGTAGGAAAATATACCTAATGTTTATAAATGTTTATATCGATTCAAAACTGTGTGACGTAAGAACTTCTAAGGTCTATTAATAAACAGCCTAAAAAAGAATAGAGCAATGTTATTGATATCGTTACAAACAGATTTTCTTGAAAGTAGCTGGGTTGTGGTGTTTGTGGTTGTAATAAAAGTTAAAACAATTAGTATATTACTCATGCATGCTTTCTTGTGGCCTATGGCTATGCTTGAGCGCTATATACGATACGTGACTGTTGTCTGCATAAACATTACCAGAATCGTTAACTGAATGAACTTGCTAAAGAAAATTAAACAGTAAATAAATTACTTCAATGCAACTTGTGAAGGCTTTAAACGATACGACTAGTCGTATACGATTGTCGTTCTGATCGTTTAAGGACTGCTGAGTCGCTGACGCCACTATTTTCACGCATCAGCCTATAACAAAATTTAGATGCGACATCTTTAAACATATTAATAATTATTTATACTAAATAACAGCAGAGCTACCCTGGTTCCAGAGATTTATTGTAAAATTTCATTGTAAGTAATATTAGAAATGGCGAAGGTAATAAATATTATATAAAACGAAAATAAACCTCTGGAACCAGGGTAAATGACACCAGAAATAATGTCTAATTTAAAGGGGTAATTACTTAAGATATTCTTAAAGGCACATCGTGTCACGCTTTAGCTCAAACTAACCGTGTGAATTAATAATTAAGTAAACATACTTTCGTTGCGAATTTCTCCAACTTCAGTTGCAGATTTCATTGCGACTGTGCAAAAACCCAAGCAAATGTTTGCAGTTGCTCTTAGTTTGTCATGTTCAGGTTGAACTACCTGATTTTCATTGAAATTGGAGAGGCCACATGCAAAAAATTGCATTTACATATGTGAGATAAATACACTATTGACGAGATTTTGAAAAATTATGTTAAGAGAATCAAAATTTTTCAGTAGCTATAAACTCGGGTTAGTAATGCAAAAATCACCAGTAACAACTATATTTAATACCTAATTTTATTTCTGTGTTGGTGTAGTGTACTCAGGTGAATATGATATTTGTGGTGTTACTCTGAGTGTATATCCACACCGGGCGAGCTTGAAAAATATGCCCGGCCACGGTGCATACTTTTCCACGGCCCGGCCACGGTGCATACTATTCCAAAGTGCATACCCTTCCACAGTGCATACTATTCCACGGTGCATACTATTCCATATATATATTATGCCCGGCCACGGTGCATACTATTCCAAAGGTCGTAGGTTCGAATCCCACCGTGGCCGGGCATATTTTTCAAGCTCGCCCGGTGTTGATATACACTCAGAGTAACACCACAAATATTATTTAATACCTGTTATCTCGGAGTTGTGTGGGAAATAGCTTCTAACCGGGGCTCTTTTATCAAGTGAAAATGTTTATTGAAGCGTTAATTTTGCTGGCCGTCGTCTGGGCTATTCTTAGACCGAAACAGGGTAAAATATCTTTTCTCAAAAAAATCCCGATTTTTTGCGTAAGTTGAAAAACTGACTCCAGTTTAACACCAAACCAAAAATGAAGGAATTTTATATTTTGACTGTGGCCGCCCAATGCTCGATATTTTTGGACAGTCGCTCTTAAAGTTTGCTAAATACGATTTCGAAGCTAAAGTGCGCGATGATTTGTGTTTTGTTAACGAAGAATTAGCAGAGTCTTTATTCCTTGAGATTCATAGGGCCCAAGGAAAAAACATTGTCATAGGTGTTATTTATAGACCTCCCAACCAAAGTGTTGGGGATTTTTTATTTGCATATAAAGAGCTAATTGAAAAAATTTCTAAAGAGAACAAAACATGCTATATAATGGGGGATTTTAATTTGAACTTGATGGATCATTATTGTCATTCTTTAACCGGCGAGTTTTTGGACGGAATGTACTCCAATATGTTCATTCCTCTAATAACCCGTCCAACTAGGATAACGTCTCATACAGCCACTTTGATTGATAATATATTCACGAATCAATTATCTCATTGTTTAAAAAGTGGCTTATTGTTCACTGACATTTCGGATCATCTTCCAGTCTTTTCAATTTGTTTTGATGACAAAATTTATACTCGAAATGTTAATGATGTAATCGTTTTTCGTGACAAAAACAAACAAAATGTGGCGGATATATTTTAATGAAAAATTAGGAACTTTTAATTGGCCACAATTGGATGGGTATGATGATCCAAATATATCATATAAAACTTTTTTATCTAAATATACTGAAATTTATAACTTAAGTTTTCCTCTGAGAAAAGTAAAGGCTGACAAAAGTTCAATCAGTAAACCATGGTTGTCAAAAGGTCTTTTAAAATCCGTGAAAATGAAAAATAGATTATACAAAAAATACTTGTCCAATCCTACACTTGAACATGAAATGACCTACAAGAGATATAAAAATAAACTCAATCACTCTGTAAGAATTGTTAAATCTTAGCATTACACAAAGAAATTACAGCGTGTAAAATCTGATACAAAGGCAACTTGGCGAGTTCTTAATGAGGTCATTAATAAAAAGAAATCTAAGACCAAATTTCCATTTTCGTTTAAAGTTGACGACAACACAAAAATATCTGACCCTGTTGAAATTGCTAATAGATTTTGTGATTACTTTACTAATATTGGCCCCAACCTGGCTAAAAAAATTCCAACTTCTCCTAATTCTCATAAAACCTTTTTATCCGGAAATATTCCAAATTCAATTTTCCTTAAGTTAGCAACTGAATCCAAGATCTTGGACATAACTTCCAGTTTTCAGTCAGAAAAAGCTGTAGGTTTTGATAAAATTCCTATGTCGAAAAATAAAACAATCAATAAATGCAATATATTTCTCAACCACTGACTCACATTATTAATCTGTCCATAACTCATGGCATTGTACCCGATGGGATGAAAATCGCTCTGGTAATTCCCCTTTTCAAAGCTGAAAATCGAGATGTTTTCACAAACTACAAACCAGTCTCTATACTTACTACTGTCGGAATTTAGATGATAAACTAAAAATGAAATGTGGACGAAAATCTTTGCCGTTTTTACACTAGATGATTTTTTAACGAATTATATTCATATACTCGGAAAACTACCCTTGAAAAACAGGTAACTGATAGGGCTACCGTTGTTAAATACTTTTAAATAATAATTTTTAATAATACTCTTGAAGATGTAGAAAACAGTGAACCGGACTGAAGTGAAGGGGTAGGGATAAAGGGCGGATACGGATGCGGATGGCGGATACGGATGCGGATGGCGGATACGGATGCGGATGAGAAAATACGGATGAGAAAATGCGGATGGGGGATAAAACGCGGATGGGGGATAAAACGCGGATGGGAAAATGCGGATGGGGGATAAAACGCGGATGAGAAAATGCGGATGGGGGATAAAACGCGGATGAGAAAATGCGGATGGGGGATAAAACGCGGATGGGAAAATGCGGATGGGGGATAAAACGCGGATGGGAAAATAATAATAATAATAATAAATAATAATAATAAATTATAATTTAATAATTTCTATTATACTGACAATTATTTGCGAAATTAAATAGGCAATGTCACCCATATTTGACTAAAAATGCATTTTATTTACAGTGTGAACTGTAATTCTGAAAATAAACATCGTAAATGGATTTATGTATGACATAAGAGTAATACGCTGTTTGTGTTTGTTATTGCTTTATTTTGTAATTACAGCCATTCTTTCTCAGTTTTGTACAAGTTTTGAGAGAGTCAGAATTCCTCAAAAATCGGTGACATTGCCCCTTTAAGTCGGTTGTAATAACAATTTAAGGATTTTTCAAGTACTAGTAGTGCAGTATCAATTCAACTAGGATTGCCACTTCTTTTGTATGAATTCTACCTACAATTATTTCCAAACCCCAAATATATTCAAGCGCTTTTATGCGCCAAATGTCGATCAAATAATTCTCACCAGACCTATAAATTTACCACATCTCAGGACTTACGCATGCAACAATAATAGGCATATGGTAAAACGCGGACTGGACTGGACTGGTAAAACGCGGACTGGACTCAGATTAGTAAAACGCGGACTGGACTCAGATTAGTAAAACGCGGACTGGACTCAGATTAGTAAAACGCGGACTGGACTCAAATTAGTAAAACGCGGACTGGACTCAGATTAGTAAAACGCGGACTGGACTCAGATTAGTAAAACGCGGACTGGACTCAGATTAGTAAAACGCGGACTGGACTCAGATTAGTAAAACGCGGACTGGACCTCACTGATCTATTATAGTAGACTGGATACAACTTCTGTGACACAAATTACTATAGAAATGTGAACAGTATGGCGAACAACGTGAACTAAGGTGAATTTTGCCAAATG